TAGTGCAGCAAAAAGACTTCCTACAAACTCGTTCAAACTACAAGCGCAAGACTCTAAGGTAGCTATGGAGCTTAGAAATTGCGCTGAGTGGGTCCCACAAGGACTACGCCACCATGTGGACACCCATGAAGTAGCCGTTTTGCGAGTTCCAACCAGCAGCGACCCTTCAGATATTGCAAAACAACTTGAAGCAGAGAACTTAATGTGGAAGAACAAAGTAGTATATGCGAAGTGGGCAAAGCGATCAGCCAAAAAACAGCAGTTCGCTACGCTAAAGGTCCAGTTGAGTGATGTCAACGCGGCCAAAGCTAGTGTACCAAATCGGCCACCTCTGGGTGAAAAATACACTTTAAAGCAATAAATGCGTACACATCAGTGAAAAAGTAATCCGAATTATCGGGCATATGGTGTAGGGGTTATCACGCATTCTTAGCATTTTCCAAGGAATTTGTCAATCTGGATGAGGTCCCCGGTTCAATTCCGGGTATGTCCAATAACTTTTGTTTCCTCACCTTTCGAGGTTATTTTTGCCACATCTTTGTATCTTCATCGCATTCTCCTTTGACGTGATTCCTCAGGTTGTAATTTTTGCAGTTTGTGATGTTGAATAAATTTGTCAGTCAAACAACAAGCTATATTACATCTTGTTCGCAATCATACATAGAATTAGTCATAATCCTGCATTCACCTTACATTGCTAGGGTGTATTCCAACTGATAAGCATCACCTAACAATGGCAGAAGAAGGAAAATCTAATTATATGTATATTTATATGATTGTAGTTTTACGTGAAACTGTGATGGAAATGTCCTAAACGAAGTCCATTGTTGAGCGAAAGTGTAGTTCCAAACACTGTTGATTAGCATGAGAGCTTGCCTGAAGCATGCAACAAAGATATTTGCATCACATGGTAGCTCCAGGGTGGATTTATTGACCTGAGATATGTATAAGCTTGTTTAAATCAGATTGTATTCTTAAATTTTTGCAGATATGACTCGTAGGAGGCAGAACGCAACGAGATGGAACAATAAAAAAGCCCATACTTGAAAGACGCACTCGGATCATGAGACTTGACCAAATGATGCCAAAATCCACGATGTGGAGTTTGAGATTTTTTATTTTGTGCAATGGGTTTAGACAAGCTTGAAGAGGAATTTTGACACAATCCCGATAACTCAAAGAGTTCACTCGCTATCGAAAGGTTGCAGGTTCGAGCCCTGCGTCGGTCAAGGCCGGCTGGCTCAATGGTAGAGTATTCGACTACGGTGAAGGGGTTGTTTTTTATTTGCAGAATTTTTGCCCGTATTCCTCATCCTGTGTTGAAGAATATGTACTGTCTTCTGTGCTTCATATAGTGCTAGTGGTGCTTTATTTTCCTGAGCTTGTCTTCTCATAAGTGAATATAATTTTTGCAATTTGTCAAATGCTGCTTTTCATTCTCAAAATGATGTCTTTGTAA